TATTCCTGATCAGCATGTCGAGTAACCCTTTGTGCGGAGTTTCAGTAAGGTCTGAGATTTAGACCCCATACCGTACGCCTACCGTAATCCCCCATAGAAGTCCCTATCATGCGAAATGAATATCATTTTTGTGTACTCTGGAATAGTACCCTCTTTTTTGATTCAAAACCGTATATCGCGTTTCAAAAAAGTACAGCAATTCAAAAGCAAAGTTGAACGGTCTTTTTTGAAGTGTTTCCATTGGCCTCGATACGCAAAAAAGCTTTTTCTGGCTTCTTCGATATGGTGTAGGATTTGTAAGCCTAATGAATTTTGGAACTAACGGAAGTAGTATTTTTTGAAAAAAATGAGAACTTTTAGGTTCGCGTTACACAAATGGAGAATTTGGATGGCATAATCATTGACTTGACATTACGTTCCAGAAGAGGATATTCAAGCCAAATACAGTTGTAGATCTTCGCATAAAATGTCCTGATTTCAACCCAAAACGAATGGATTGGCGGTTGTTGGTATAATATAACTCAAGACCAGACATTGCAGAAAACATTGTACGCATCTTAATTCTTGACGTCGCATTTTCGTATTTCTTTTTCCCAGTTCAATAAACATAACGATTGTGCCTAAAATCTGTAGTGCGTACGACCTCAGTAGAATAAGCCACAAAAGTAATACTTTGCACGCTTTAAATCTTCACATCTCCAAATGGGAGATGACCGTTTCGCAATACAGCATCCATCAGTATATACAGAGTGTCCCAAAAAGATATGCACACTGTTTGATCGCTAATAACTCTCTTGCTTTCATGTCTTTTGCCGAGCTTGAAGTGTCATTTTGTAGAGCGAGGATAAACTTAGATTTACAGTATTAAGCGAAACTCCAATCTCTTTTTGCTACTCTAGGATTATGGTATGAACTTTCAGCATACAGCATCACTGTGAGATAAGCATTTTGATGAAATAATTTCAAAAAAATCTAAAAAATTGTGTAGCAAGCTTTTCAGGCGTGCTGATTTCACTACATAACTTTCCATCAGTTTTTCGAGCTTTCTTGATGGCGTATTCACATTTCTGCTGAACACTGGAAAATCAGTTGTTACCCTAAATCTGAATTAACTCATGAAAGAAACATTGTACTGACGTGCAGTTTTCATATTTAGAATCAGCGACTACGATTAACCCAGTTCAAGAGTTTCTGGCTTATTTGGCTTTTTTTAAGGCAAAATACAGCTTTCCATTGCTGAAAATCCTCCTCGAAATTCCTACCGTAATTCTACAGTAATGAAAAGCGGCTGGTAAGTCCCTCCATACTGTAAATCTAAGTTTATCCTCGCTCTACGGAATGGTACCTCAAGCTCGGTAAAAGACATGAAAGCAAGAAAGTTATTAACAATCAAACAGTGTGCACATCTTTTTGGGACACCCTTTATTTTGCATGATTTGACCTAGCATGTGACGCTGCAAATCTTTACTCCACCTTTAGATAGAGTGTAGAGCTGTACGTGATTGCGACAGTCGATGACCTTGCGGCCATTGCATGCCCAGGGTACCATACTCAAATCAGTTGAAGGATCCCGTACTTTTCGAAATCGTTCTAGGCAACTGGAAGCTAACATCTGATAGCAGAAAAGCGGTTGGAAGGAGAAAGATAACTGAGAAAGATTAATGCGCATGCAATGACCACAAACTCACCCAGTCTCGCGATCACGCGGAGCCTATCAGTGTTCGAACTGCAACGGTACAAAAGGTTCTCTTGATAGCGCATGTAACCTATTGTTGAAGTTGTGAAAGTAGGCTACAGTAATAGATTGGTATTACAGTGTGTCCCCAACCCAATCAGACCAAATTGGCATGGCGGGAGTTTGCGTCGCTATGGCTTTGTGGCACCGTATGGCATGCGTACCTCCCTCTTCAACCTGGTCCCTCTCCCACAGTGCGCATATGCAGCGCAAAGTAATGGCTCTACGCGCATGCAAATTTAGCAGACAGTTAGGCCTGATTACGATTGGAGGAGATTTTACCTACAGCGACAAGAACAAGGTCTTCTTTGTATGATCACTTTGGTCACTTGCTCGTGCACCAAGAAATTTTCGCTGCGACTATCGTCTCTCTTTCCATCATTTCGTTTTTTCGACACTTGCCCTGCGTTTACGTCTTTGACAAGAATGAGTGTTGTGCTTGCATTCAAAATTTTCGACCGAAATTAGCGTTACAAGGTTGATGACGCTCTACGGAAAATTTGGTCACAGTTCAGTACCGAGGCTAAGAATTCACGCGTGCCGACTCTACATTTTTAGATAAGTGACAGGGATAAGGGAAGAGCAATCTTGAATGAAATCACAAGAATGGCCACGTTAAACACGATAATCCAAGTGGTCGTTAATGTGGGTTGAGCTACATTTATCACAAGATTGCATTTGCATTCATGTAGTGCTAAGACTTGCCAGCAAATCGGTTAATGTAGCATAGTGGCTGTGCTGGCTGTTCGCAATCGTCACGTCAACGGCACGATGCCCGTGGACGTGCAAGTTTTGCGGAGACCATTGCGAGGCTCGCGCTAAGTTCGCGCTAAGTTCGTAATTTGCAATGAGTGTCGTGAGCTTAGCTCGTTTATGTTGTGACATTCTGGGGTAGACTACTACAGGCCACGATGACAACATGTTGCATTCAATCAGTATGCTATAACTGAGCAGAAGCATAGTCTATACCCTCAAACCGAAAATGGCTAAGACAAAAATGAAATTTCGTAAATATAGCATGTTTCGCATTTGAGAATACAAAACAAAGCAAGAAACAAGTAATTGGTTCGAGTTATTTGACTCCCACTAAATGGCAACACGTTGCATTCTGAATCAATAGTTAGTGTCTCAATGAAGACATCTAGTACTTGTAGTCCTAAGTGGAAAATGACTAACAGCAACAACTCTCATAGCATGATTTGACTGCATGTCATCTCAATGAAAATAACAAGACAAACTGCGAAGACATTCAATTCCAATATGTAGTACAGTATGAAGTAACTCATCATATGACATACGTTACACTTAAATCAGCTAGTGTGCAATATCAATGCAAACATCTGATCATTGCACTCTCAAAAGAAAAAATGACTCAAATTGACTCACTTCGGCCTTACATTTTAGAAAATATCACTCAGTTGTAATCAAATCATTTCATTTAAATGCTCACACTTTTAGTGAAGCCTGTCTTTTAGTGAAGTCATCAAATGACCAGATGTTGCACTCAGCTATTTCGCACACTAAGTTATGCTGATCTATCGCAAACGACTCGTCGATAAACTTCCGCTACAATGAATCTACAATCATTGGAAACAAGAGCAATTTCGACATACTTCTTAGGTCCGTATGCACGTACATCCTCGCGGGGAGGGGAGGGGATCTGAGAGGGGAAGCGTCATAGTTCGCTACTCTGTATACCTTTCATCTTCCTTCTTTATTTGTGCTATGAAGGTTCTCATATCCTAATACCTGCGCATAATGGATGCCAGGTTATTGCCGTACAAGATTAGATTTTCACAACTTTGTGTGATCCCCTGGGGATCCCCAGGAGATCACCTCTCATTTTCAAAGTCATTTATCTTCCCACAAATTCATTAAAAATTTTCTAAATTTCTGCTGAGGGTATATATAGTACTGCTAAACATGTTTATAGTAGAAATAAGGGAAATCTCAGGATATCGAAATTTTCGACAAACCGCTGCTCGCGAGCCAGGGATTATTGAAAAACTGATAAACTTCAAAATCCATCTCTTCTGTCAAAAACATGCTTAACAGTGCAATGGTATATCCTCAGTACAACTTTACGGCATTTTCATGGAGTTTTTAGCAAGATAAATGACTTCGAAGATAAGAGGTGATCCCCTGGGGATCCCCAGGGGATCACTCAAACTGGTGAAAATCTAATCAATTATGCCATTAACCTGGCATCCATTATGCGTAGGTATCAGGATATGAGAACCTTCATATCACAGAAAAAAAACGAAGAAGAAAGGTATACAGAGATACGAAATATGACGCTTCCCCTCACAGATCCCCTCCCCTCCGGGATGTACGTGCATATGGGCCTTAGACTCCGCATACTTTCAAAGGCCATCTCAAAGTAAAGAGGAAACCTTTGTAAACAACTCGAAAAAGAGAAAAATTTCAGAACATAAGTGCAATCTATTGTTTACACACGGTCATGGTAGGAAAAATCAATTTGTTGCAGCATCAAGCCATTAGAGCCTTATGTGTAGGATGACTCATATACACCTATTGCCATTATGTCATCGCACTCTACATTTCGCAATAATTTGAACTGAGTCCGCAAAAAGACAACAAGTTGTAATACTCCTACACATAAGATGAGATGACTCATCAAACATATGCTAACATACTCACGCATTCAATCGATTTTCATGGAAAGACATATTGGATGGAAAAAAAGCGAGGTCAGCTCTCTTCGAATGGCATGATGTTGCATGCAGCTATTTTATACACTAAGTTATGCTGGTTTATCGCAAACATGTAGTCAATAGACTCTACTACCACAATGAATCATACAATTATTGGAACAAGAGCATTTTTGACACACTCCTCAGACATCACATGCTTTGAAATGCCAACTCAAAGTAAGGAGCAAACCCTTTGACACTCAATTTGAGAGCGACTTGAAAAGACAGCAGAAGAAGGAAAAATTCAAAACATGCGTGCAAACTATTGTTCACACGGTAAGAATAATCGATTTTATTACAGCATCAAGCCACTGGAGTCTTATGCGTATGATGACGCATGTATACCTAATTTCATTATGTTAGCACACCATACTTTCGCAATAAGTCGAATTGGGTCTGCAAAAACCCAAACAAGTTGTAACGTTCCACCAGAAAAGATGACTAATCAAACATGTACCAACCAACGTGCACATTCATCCAATCGATTTTCAGGAGAATACGTGTTGGATAAAGAAAAAAAGAAAAAAGAGAGGTCAACTTCAAACGATATATTATGAAAAATTTGATGGTACATAAATGATACCTGTATGGCCATCGTGCTCACCAATGCCTGCGGGTCTTGGCCACGCTAATGGCTGTGGGTCACGGTTTACCTCTCGATCATAACTAAAAAAGTTCTTGATTATGAATGAAATATTCAGATAATACTTACCCGACCCTCGACAAGAAATCCTCGATCATTAAATTGAACTCTTTTCTATCCCCAATGGGAATATTGATTATTCGGATATATCCATTTAGAATCTTGTTCTGGAGCGATTCTTCATATTGCAGTTTATGTTGCTCCATTATCTATCTGAAAGTAATAAACTTTGAAAAAGAGAGCTAGTCCGCAGGCAACGATGCAACGAAGCAATGAGCACCATCATGCGATGAAATAAACAATAAAATGATGAGACAATTTTAGGCCAAACTTTTCAGTTTCTAAAGCACATTCCTATAACAATAAGTAGGACCTGTAGAATTACGGTATAGTGACGTTATAGCACACACTTACTCGAAAAGAGTTCAATCCAATTCAGAATGTTTATTATGAAGAAAAACATTATATACAGAAAACATTATGTTCAACCTGAAAAGCGTGCTGACAAGTTTATGGTATTTGCACACAAGGAAAATAGAGCACCCATACAAACAAGCATTAACTCAACACCAAGTTTATTTACCTCCAATGTCTGGATATTATCATATTTGAGAGGAAAAAACATTCAAGTAGAGTTGGAAATGATGAAATGAATGTGTGTAACAATACTAAAATTTTTCAGCATTATCTTGCCCTTACATCCAACATCCCTAAATTATCGAGAAAATTTCTAAGTATTTAATGCATCCAAATGGTAAATCAAATGCACTAAACATAAGGGGATAGGTTGTGTACCTTACGCTGGTGGGTTTAGTTTTTTCCCTTCCTTTTTCTTTTGGTTTTTTTTGTTTACCCGGGTACTACCGATGGGGTTTACACAAGTAGTCACTGGCATGGGAGGGTAAGTGCTACGCCTCCGGTAGCTATTCTTTTGAAGGGAGCGCCACCCCTGGGAGCAATCCTCCCGAAACTTTAAGTAACCTTCCCTCTGGTATGGGATGGGGCCCTTCTCTACCTTAGATCCAGGCTCAAAAACAATACAAAAACACATGGTTATTCCCACTCTTATTTTCAGGGTACTACTTTTTATAAGCGTAAGGTAACCGGCAGGTACAACCTATTGAATTTTGGTTATGAAAATAAGGGTTTACAATGTAATCAATCCTGTAACATATGCAATAAAACGTACTATACTAATTACGTAATATCAAAAGTTACAGGATTCAAAATTAATACCTATAAACATACAGTGTGCAGTTGCAGCACTAAAAATGTTATGTATTGTATAATTTGTGTCACTTGTGGTTTACAGTATGTTGGAATAGCCACACGAAACTATGTGAAAGAATTAAGGAACATATTAGAGGAATAGTTAGAAGTAATGAAAATAAAATACTATATAAACATTTTGAGGAAAAAGACTGTAATAAAAATATTATTAAAATATCTATTTTGGACAACCTACCTGAGAATGAGGGATAAAGATATACTCAGAAATAAGGAACTTTTTTGGACAAAACTACTAATGACTCCGTTTCCATCTGGTTTTAATGATAACATCAAAGGCTATGGAAATCTGAGTCTTATTAAAAACCCTTTAACGAACACTAAATCACATCCGTTCTTTAGCCTCAAAATTTTGAAAGAAAGAATAAATAGAGGAAATCATAAACATCATAAAAAATCATAATACCGTTAACGAGATAACTAACGAAATCAATTCACTCTTCGAACATACAGAGCAACCTTATGAAATTTTTAAATATCTAAAATCTAAACAACACAAATATATTTCAAAATTAATAAACCATCTAATTTATCCTACCAATCTTTGACATATATCCAAATCCAATAAACTTATTTAGCTCAGCACTCTTTGCTATTATTATGTTAGCAAACAAACTGACAAACATGGAAAAGTATTCAGTAATCTACCTTCAGATAAAATTCCTTTCTATACTTCGGTACTGGATAGAGTTAACCTCAATAAGGTTTTCAATAACAAAACTGTTAAATCTATAATTAATGAAGGAAATATTGAATGCAAAAACTTTAGAATTCATTTTCATTACAACAACCCGATCTCTACACGTATTTTTAACTACAACACGTTTCTAAGAACCATCCCTAATTTACATATTGAACGTATGCCTTGTATATGCAATAAATACCAAAGCTATGTATCCAGTCATCACAAACACGTCGTTACAGGAGATATTAGTATTTTTAAAGAAATGAATATCTTCGAAATTTTCCAGAAAGGAACAAAATTTCGTCCCCAATTCAAATTTACTCATCAAAAAATCAAAAATACCTGACTATACATACTCCAAGAATACATTAACAAGTTAAAGAAAAAATGTCATTTAAATACAAACAACACCGAGAGAATACTACAAATACTTTACCACAGTTTTGAGAAAATCAAGACTAGAATATTTTACTGTACCAATATTAACACGTTCATTAAAATCGATACAAGCGAGCTTGATTATATACACAAGTACTTCATAATCTGTCTACTAGATAAAGCCAGCTCTAACTATGGTATCATTTACAAGAGACTATACCTGAAAATTATAATGGAAGAAATGGGCTTGACTACGAATAAAACCAATCAAATATATGAAAAGGTAGATAATTTTGATATAAACGAAATTGTTAACAGGCATATTGCATTCGCGAATAAACTGCACATTTACAAACAAGAAAGTTATAATATTCCAATCATATATTGCGTACCCAAATTACATAAGAATCCCACAAAATTTAGGTTTATTACAGGTGCTTATAATATAGTACAAATCCTATAACACTTGAATTACCACATATTCTCAGTTTTATTATGATAGAAAACATTTTAGAAATTATGCATACACAGTCATGAAAAATAAAAAATGCTTGCAGACTACTGGGCTATTAATGATATTAATATAATATATCAACGGACCTACAAAACATAGAAATAGACAATAAAAAATTGTTTTCAGCAGACTATACCAATATGTTCACCAATATTCCCCATAATATCATTATAAGCAATCTGAAAGAATTTCTTAAAATATTCTTCAAAAATGCATGCGGAAGTTTTATAAAAATTAACAATAATCATAAAATTATGTTTTCCACAACACAAGATTATACTTTAGGACATAGGTATTATATTATAAAATAGAAGATATAATTTATCTTATTGATTATATTCTACGTAATAGCTTTTGTCGCTCTGGAAACCAACTTTGTAATCAAAAAATTGGAGTACCTCAGGGCGGTAATGCTAGCCCAATAATTGCAAATCTTAATCTCTCGTATTTTGAGTATATCTTTGCCTGCAATATGCAAAATCCAAATTTTCTATTCCAAGCATATCGATCTATGGATGATATTCTAATCATCCATAATAAGACCCAAGATTTCATAAAAACAGCACTCGACAAAGTCTATAATAATGTTTTGAATTTAGAAACTACAAATCCTACAGAGTATGAATGCAATTTTTTGAATATACACATTTTAATTAGAAATGATGTTATAAACACTAAACAATATAACAAAACAGATGATTTTGACTTTGAAATAACCAGATTTCATGGTTCTTCATACATTAGCTTTATGCTCAAATGCGCTATTATTTATACAGAAGTTTTAAGAATATATAGAACCTGCACTAAGTTTGAAGAATTCTACGATAGAATCAAAATCCTGATTAGGTTATTGGAACTGAAATATGACAAAGAAATAATACAGCTAGGAATATTTAAATGTTTAACATTGAACAAATGCATTACATACAAGTATAAACAATTGAGCAATTTCAGAAATGTCAAAACTTTTGTTGCTAATATAATCTACAGTATGATCTAAGTGTTCGACCTTTGATCTATTTGAGCTACCCCACAGGTATAAAAGGCGACCCTGCTATGGTGTAATCACTCTTCTCCTCCTTCAACCACTCCTCCCTACTGATGAGCCTCGGGAGTGGTCTTATACAGTTCCCTGTCTAGGGGTAGAGGCGAAACAGGCTAACATTAGAATAAACAATAGATTAACCGGGGCATCGGCCATGTTGAAAAAAATTGGAAATTTATGTGAAGTAACAAAAATATATGCTTTAGACGGTCTTAGATCGTATGGTGAGCATTTGGAAACGGGCAAATGCTGCAAAATGTTACTTCACATAAGTTTTCAAAACTTTTGACTAAGTCTTCCTCAATTAATATTTTATACTTATATACAAATTTGGTGTGAAAAGCTTGTGTCTATGCTGTAACAAGCAACTTGTTTATTTTAGCCTTGCTTTCAAATCGCGCGCACTTTTTGCAAAATCTGATGGAGCACGTCAACCGTGTGATAACCTGTTCTGAAAGCGCGTGTCCGACTAAATAAAGCATCCTTTGTGCTCGTCCCAGTGTCTGCAAAAACAATGTCCCCTTTGCTTTTTCGTCCCGAAAACGAAGTCCAGCCTGCTCCCATGCGATCTGTGCCGGTCCTGGTAAGTTATAGCATACTGTTGTGCATGCTTACAAGATGGTCAGAAGTCAAAGTAGTCAATCCAAGCAAGCTGCCTACCATTCGATGCAGCATTTAACTCTTCAAATCTGTATTCCATTTGTGCTTAGCGCCTTTGTGGATGGGCAGTTTTATGGCGAAAAAATTATACATAAAATTGCGAGTTGAGCACATTGCTGCACTTTCAAACCTTTAGGCTTTAAGAATAAAAAGTAACGTAGCTGCGTGCTTTGGCTTAGCATAAAGCCGAACATGGCTCTGTACTGCCAAATTAGCGCTTCGCATACGCAATTTCTTAGCAAAATAACGGCCTCTAACGGCTCATAACTTCGCCCATATAGGTGCCAAGCAGAAATGGAATACAGAGTGAAGCCAGTGTTTTATGTATAGTGGTATGCAGTTTGTATGGATTGGCCACGTCGACTTCTACCATTTCCTTGTTAGTATTTAAAAAAAACTAGGAGTTCTGGACAAAGTTGTTCTCTGACATAGAAAGTCGGCGGATTGTGGGCAGCTGTTGTAGCGGTTTGTTTACTTGATAGAGAGAGTTGGCAAAAATTATTTTGTGATTACCTGTTTGCTTCTCTTTGGAAATGATATCTTACAAGGGAAGCTACCTAACTTTACTCGGCCTTTTGGCAAGGAATATATACAGGGTGTCCCAAAAAAATGTATCGAACGTTTGATCGTTAATATC